GATGGGCCGTGGCCACCCGCGACTACAAAGACTCATAACACTGCTACAATGATGCCATGCAGAGGTCTCTCAGATAAGGAGCCTGGAGACGGGTCCACGTCAAAACTGCATCACGCCCCAAGAGGTCCCCATAACAAACAAACCACATTTGAAGAACAAGAGCCAAAGACAACAGACGAGCCAAGGATTCCAGCAGAATACCCCTCAGGGTTCCTGTGAAGAGCCTCTGACAGAAAGTGAAGGGTATAAAGGGACCTTAACAGGGTTGTGAGGGTAAGTTGGACAGGGTAATCTGAGTTTGCCCCCCAAAAAGGGAGAACCAATCCCCAATAACTGTTGGCTGAAAAAGGGAAAGTTAGACTGATCTGAAGTCTTTGGGGGATGAGAGGTTGAGAGGTAAATCAGTCCACGTGAACCCTAATATCAGGTGATGGGAAAAATACTAAATAGGGATGGGAAGTTGTTTCATGCAGGAGGGAAGGTCTAGAGCAGCATTTCCCAAAATTTTTTCAACTGAGTAAAAGCTTATGGAACACTAGACATGTGAATTATTGGTGTACAGAGTATGTTGCACATGCAGCGCCCTCTATATTTATATATTATTCATTTATTTATCTAATAAAATTACATATTAATAAATTTTTACATTTTTATACTTATAATATATTTTAGGTACAAACCTCTCCACTAAGATTTCATGTAGAATAGATATGGCATCTTCTATAATTCTTCTTCAATGCAAAATTGGTATTATCTAATTCTAATACATAGGAAAATATTTCATAATAAGTTATGATCCTACAAAAAGTGTTAAATATTTTATTAAAATATAAAATCATGATTTTCTCATGGAGCACCTATCAATCTCGGATGGAACACCAGTGTTCAGTGGAATATAGTTTGGGAAATGCTGGTCTAGAGTCATAGGAAACAGGTGTAATAGACAAAACATCACATACCTGAGAGATAAAAGTCTGGTGACAGACAAGGCGAATCATCAGGTAGTGAACAGGAAGATGCAGCAAATTCCAGAGGGGGGGGGGCAAACGATCAAAATCGTTTTCAGTCTGGCCTGGCTCGAAGGGCTCTGGAGGAAGTGGGGCAGAAGTAGGCAAGAGAGGTTGGCTCATACATCGCTCAATCTCCTGGTGAATAAGTTACAATATATTCCGCGATAGATCGCCCATGCCTGTGGCTGAACATACAGCATCAAACACTGGCAAAGTACCCGAAGTGGTGACTGTAACTTTGGAATTCATAAGCAGGAAACACGAGGAACTAATGCTGTATTAAAATGTTAATTCCAGAACTGTGAAGTGCAGTAAATAAAGTCAAGAAAATATAAAAATGAAAAAATAAACCACCTCAAAGTAAATGAACAATGTAAAAAAGAATGTCTGAACTTGACAGCTGCCAAACGAGAAGTGATAGTTCAGTCGTGGCGTGTAGAGGGAGTATCATGTGTTATGTGATGTCTCCTATTGGTGGAGAAGTGACGCATGATGATTTGCATGAGAGACATGTTGGAACTGTGGATTCCAAGAAAGGTAGGATGAAGGCTTGTGGCATGCATTTCTGAAAAGTTTGCATATATTTTGGGAAGCACAAAATGAGAAAAGCTAATCTATGAGCAGAAGAAGAGTACCTTATCGGAAACAAATCTCTTCATACATACAGTATTATGCATCTCATTTAGGATATACTTTTATTTTCTGAAACAGGTTTCTTTATGTGTATGGCCAACTCTTATTGACATCTTATTTCACAATCAAAGCATGCACTACCATTCTCTGCTCAAATTATACAACCAGATTAGTTTACGTATTAACCAATTAAATTTACATTTTCCATGCTATGGGTGTCCATACTCCAATTATATTTTATTTATTTATTTTAAGATTTATAACATTTAACAGTGTAATTTAGTCTATCTTTCACAAATGACATGGGTTTTCATAGATAAGGGACTAAGTGTATTATTTACACAGAGGAGTTAAAATAATAATTGGAAAAATCTTACATGTTCAGTTAGTAAAGTTCAAAGTGTTATGTTTCTATATATCACTAAAAAAAAAGGGCAAACCCAAAGGGAATGAAGAAGATTTCAAGAAAATGAAATAAACTTGTGCAGGTTAAAATACCTAACATAAAGGAAACAAAAATAAGGTATAAAAGCTTGCTCAGCAAAATATTAAATATCATAAAAAGTTTTTTTGTTTATATAATTAGGAAAAAGGTAAGAAAATATTGAATGAATACTAAGATTTCAAGAATAAAGGTCTTAGTTAAGACAAACTACTTCTAAAACTTTCTACAACTGAGTTAGGACTTGTTTAGATGTTTAGTATTACTTTTCAAAACATGTTGAATGCAAGGTAATAACTCTTCATAGTACAGAAGTAAGTGACATTCCTGAAATATAATTTTAGGCAATTTTATGGAGGTTTTACAAAATATAAGAAAATAATTCAAGAAATTAGATGCATATCAATTTCATACTTCTCGGTAAGATTTAGGAATCTTATGCTTCAAATCACTTGAAGGATCACTGTATAAACTGGAAATGGATAAACAGAACTCAATTCTTTTATAAAGATTTTTGTCTTGCCAACTTAAAAAAAAAGTTCTTTTAGCAAACTTGGTAAGGTAATATAAATATTTAAGGTAGAATTTTATAATAGAGAACTTAATATTATATCATGATTGTAAAAACACTTGCATGTAATAAAAGCACAGTTTTCTCATTAGATTAATATGACTAATGAATAAAATGTAGGAGATTTTTGTTCATTATTTAGATGTATAATACTTCTAGTAAAGTGAGTTGTAACATTAAAATTTTACAATGTAAGTTTATTTCCAGTTTATACTTTCCTATGTATGCTGAACTAATTTACTCCTTCGAATCTTTGGTAGATTTCATCTGCCTGAAGTTTTGTAATGGATGTACTTAGTACAGAGACCAAAGTGTTAATCACAAAACTAAGCAGATGTGATGACATTGCAGTCCATTGAAAACTCAAAACTAATACTACCTACTCTGGCAAATTCATTCATAAAATAGTTGTTTTTTCCTAAACTTTTTATTGTCACATTAATTCCTGCAAATCTTGTAATAATGTCCTCATTCACATTTACAAGATTTTGTACTGAATTTTGTACAAAATAATGTTATGCTTCATAAAGATTAGACTTAGAAGGCTTTAGAAACTGAAACTAAACAAGTTTTTATTGGTTGAATATATGTGCTTAAAAGGGGAATAGAATTTTATAAGAATGTCCTAAAATAAAATCTTTGTAAACCTATGCTGCTAACTCCCAAACACCCCAAAAGGATTACCAATATTCGAAGAATTGCAATGGTTATTGTATCAACACTGAACTTAATTATAAACGTTTAGACAGATTCAAAGTACAGTCTTATTACTCTGGAGAATTATTGTTGTAAACACTGTAGGATACATATATAAGCCAATAAGTTCCACATCCTGTTGTCAGCAAAACGTTTTCACTGATTCTAAGTACAATATGATTACTCTAAATTTTTCAAGACAACATTATAGAATATATAATCCAATATATTAAACATCCTATTCTCGGAGCAGGGGTCAAGTCAGCTATCTCTTTGTATGTGCTTTGTTGCTTTTAATGGTATTGTATTATGGTATCACATAAACAGTCTACTCATACAAGCAGCAATTTACTGCTATATTTTTAGCAGGTTTCTACTTTAGTCGTTAAGAATAAAATAAACACAGAAAATAAATGTGAAATGTTTAGCAGTTCAAACTCTTAAGAGAAGTACTTTGAAACTTCATGACCAATAAAAAAGAAAAAAGGGCACAACTGCTCATTTTATTTCTGATTTTACAACTTTTCGTTATACTTTGATGATTTGTCTATAGGCCGAAGAATCATGTATATCATTGAGGTAAAGGTAATAGTAAATAAAATATAAAGTTTTATATGTATTTAGGAGGTTTTACAAGTTACACAAATGAAATTAATACCACAGAATTCTACTACAATTTATAAAGCTTAGAAACTAAGATGTATTTTAGTCTAAAAGAATATGAAATTCTGAGCAAACTAAAGACACACCCTACCTTGTTGAAATATTGGTTGAAAAGAAAGAAATGGTGCCAAGTCCGTTAAAATAGCTGAGAAAGCCACTAGGGGGACATTCTGAGCTTCCGATTGGTTATTCATGTTAAATATAGAATTAAGTGTATATAATGGAGCATTTCCAAAAATGGAAAGAGGTGGGCGGGGTACCACTGTGTTTAATTTATTACATGAATAATATCTTAGCACATTGAAAAGAGACTCTTATTTTATATTCTAGTTTGTCAATATCGGTAATTTGAGATTCTAGTTCATACAAAACTATAGACTTAATATTTTGACTTCACAAACATTTAATTTGAACCAGTGCTGCATTCAGCATACCACGTGACACACAAAAATCGATGTTTATCTGTCTTTTTTTTTAATATTTGCTTCTAAATTTAGAAATTGAGTAATATATATAGTACTAAGATTTGAATTATAATCTACAGTTTGATACCAAACTTATTGACATAAATTTGTGAAATAGTAGTTCAATAAAATTTTGAATGTTAGTCAACAAATGTGATGACATGGTCTTTGACCTGTGTTGAAGGGGTTAATGTGTGTGTGACATTTTCATGACTCTCCCACATATAACTCTTTCTCATAATATCTATTGCCTTATACAACTACAGGCCATGAAGGTTTTACTGAAAATACACTACTAGCAAACAAAACACAAATCCAGGAAAAACTGGCAGTAGTAATGATGGCACTATTTCTCTTCATCTTCCAAATGCACACACACAGCCAAAATAAGCAAAATAATGGGCTAATGATTTTTCATATTAACTTTGTTTTCTTACTCTTTATTATTACTGATAGTATTATTACCAGACACTGTAAATCTTTAAAAAAAAAAGATACAAATCTTGAATGATATTACTTACCATGGTCTTGTTCAATACGAACATGTCTCACCAAGCCGTTTAGTTTAAATGTAAGGCTGAAAATGTAATGTTCATCAGAACTGTCCCGGACAACAAAAGATCCATCAGGTTCACTGGCCAATAACTTCTCTGCTGTCTCTCCACTAATAGGTCCCCAATACCAACCACACTGTAAAGAGTTTGGCATTTAAGAAGTTTTACTATCACAAGTTACCATTACCATCAAACTACATTATTATGTAGTAATTAGCATTTCAAAAAATATTATGTTGTAGCTCATTTAACAAGGTTCTTAAACCTATTAAATAATGTAAGAATTAATGTTGTTTTTAATGGTCATGGTCTAGAATATTTCATGTTAAGATTTCTATTAATATGATTCAGAGAACCGGTATACTGTTTTAGAAATTGCAATATAAGATCAACTCAAGCTAAGCTTATTTGATACTTGCTAATATTGAATTTTGTAATAACAGCTCTTTCTTATTCTGATCAATAATGGTTATTATGAGTTTCTGTGGCTTAATTGTATGTATATTTTATTTTTTCAAAAACAACATTAACAGCATGCTGACTAATTTCTGTGAATGGTAGAAGTGATTAATACCAACTGAAATTGCCATTAACACAAGTATAGCTTTATCAAATGCAAAATTTTCTCAACTTACATCTTTTACTTTCTGGATACTTGCTGCATAGTCCATTTTTTTTCTTGTGTAACCCTCTAATTCTTTCTCAAATTTTGCATGAAAGTCTTTAGGGTGCTCTTCATCATCAGAGAAGTCCCATCTTGATCTTTCTCGAGGAAGAGGTGGAAGTGCTCGGTTCATAAATGGGCTAGTGTTGGGACTCTTGTCTTTCTTTTGTTGACCATTTGTTCTAGATCGTTGTTTTGGTCTGTTTTTTTTTGAGCTAGATTTTTTTAAACCGAACAAACTTACAAGTACTGCTTTGACAGAAGCTGGAAAACTCTTTCTATGACAAGATTTTTCAGGTCCAGAATTCTTTGATCTGCGGCTTCTGTTGTCACTTTTCTTTTTTGGCCTCTTATTGTGAAAGTTTATTCCAAAAGAACGTTTGACTAGAGAAACTTTAGGTTCCATGGAGTTGTTCAAGTGCTCCTGTTCAAGAACTGAAGAATCAGTGATGCTTTCAGGAGAAGGTTCTAATGTTAATAGAGAAGTACGAACTTCTTCTAATGTCATGTGAATTGGTTCTTCTCTGGAAATGTTTGAAGTTGGATGTCTGATAGCAGCACCTGAAGCCCAAAACAAGTCCCATGGCACACTGTGTCGCTTTAAATCAACTGAAGCTTCAATATCTCCACCTACAGCTCCTACTTCCTGTTCAGTCACTAGGGTGCTGCTTGTTTTTGTTTCTTCTGATATTCTTCCTGAGGATGAAGCCTCTGTAGCTCGGGCATACAGGACTGATTGAGACTTCTGGCTTCTCTCTGGTTCACCATAGTCAGAAATTGCTTGTGTTCTGTCACAGTCCTTTCTCTTTGATGAGGGACGTTGAGATGTTCGACCTCTAGCTACATCACTTGTACTTGAATAATGAGAAACAGATGGAGACTCGCTTGTACTTCGTTGGCTCTGTGAGCTTCTAGATGGAGGACGAATTGATGGTGATTCTAAGGAACGATTGAAATAAGATGGTACATCATTCTGTGAAAGGCTACTTTCCAAATGTTCTTTAAAAGCTGATCTTCTTCCACTGTACTGACCAATTGCTACAGCTCCACTATGTAAGGACTCAATACTACTTCTATATTCATCACTGTCTAGACTTACTGGAGGAGGTCGAACAGGTTTAGGCTTGACTACTGTGGTGTATCTTGCTGATGGTTCACTACGAGAGCGAGAGGACTTGTAACGGCCCTGAAAATTAGATGTACCAGCCATTTTATAATTTCCTTCACTGTGGGCAGTCCGTGGTAACCCATAGCTGTCTTCACTCCAGCCTCCAGAAGAAGTGCTGTAGCTTGCCTCACTACAGGTTTCATCTTTTCGTATACGAAGGGGTCTTATTCCCCTAGGTGGGCGGACAGGAGGAGACATGCAACTAAAACCACGAAAATCACCTCGCTTTACTGGTGCCCCAAGAAGAGAAACAGAATCTTCAAAGTCAGTGTCTTCATCTTTTCGGAAGGGAGGGAATCCTGTACAAAACGGAATGGCATCAATAGGAGTGGCATAGTCTCCATCATCAAGACGAACAGACAACAAGGCCTGAGCTACAACAGGGTCCGGTGAAGTACGAACAGGAGAGCTAAACATATGAACAGAATCATATACGGAGGAGTTTAAGTAAGTGCTACAGTCAGTGTGGGAACTGCCTTCATCACAAGAGCCTAAATACTCTCCATCATGGCTATTATCAGTTTGTGAGCTCCCCTCATCACACGATCCAGGGTCTTCTCCACTATGATTATTTTCAATGTCTCTTGATGAAAGCCCTTTTATTTCCTCAACACTAGGATTAAGCAGCACACCACTGATGATATATTTGCTTTTGTCAGCACCACAAAAATTTGGACCCATATTTTTTTGATCAACAAGATTTTGGCAATTAATGAGCTCTCCTTCAACTACTTTACCTTTCTGATCAATGAATGATGAGTTAATAAGTTCAGCACTGTCCACACAATTCCCTGGTGATTTTGGACTAAGCAAGCCAATGTCATCTCCAGATTCTTCACTGTGAAACACATCATTCCTCCAGATCTCTGCTTCTCTTCCAGGAGATTGAAGGCTATTAGATAAAGACAGTGGGCGTGCATTATCTCCCTCAAACCCACTATCAGTGCTAATATTTGGTGACTTCAGAGTTCCATTCTCAGCTGCAGTGACAGATTCTGAATGATTGTTTATTTCAGGAGAGCTAAGCTCACCTAGCTGTCCACAAAGCTTTCCTCCAGGATTTGTGGAATCTACTGGTAGGAGTATATGTCTTGAGTTTTCCTCCATTTTAGCTTGTTCTTCCAATGATATGTGTGGGTGATGAGTGGAAATCTGCCATGTGACATAACAGGAAGCACTAATAACCACCATAATTAATTATCACAAAGTAACCATAGTTACTGTCTTCAGTCCTGCTGACCTCAAGCACATTATATACAAAACAAATAGTTCTAGTGGGCATTTTTCACAATTTTAAATTTAAAATGTCAGTTTTTAATACGTACAAACACTCAAACCATCTGTAGTAAAACTGAAATGAACATCATGGCTAGAAGTTGTTTGCTGCAAACACAAAGAAGAAATAAAATGAACAACAGATTAATAGTGATATTAGGATTAAAACTGTTGTATAAGAAAGAAACATTGTATCTAGGCTGTAAAAATACTTATAAGTATACACTACAGTAATTCCAAAAAATATTATTTACAGTTATCTTCAAATCCTATGTTTTAAATTTGGTTTGTAAAGTTTTCTCTTTTTTTATTTTGTCCAATTTAAAAATATTGAACATATTTGACATACTATTAACATTGTCATTTAGAACAATTAGTCAATAAATTAAGAATCATTTTAGTAATTATACATTAAAGATAAAAAAAATTAAGTCTCCATCTACTGATTACTGTTTTTGTATCAACTGATAAAACTATTGACACATATTTTTCACATTCCACAAAATACCTACAGATTTTTGACTAAGTATGTCTACATCATATCTTTATACTTTCATTAAATTCTATGGCATGTTTTATCACTGCAGAGCAAGTTATTTTTAACGGGCTATTCTAGGCTTAAGAGTAACCATTACTAGTCTCTTAACTTAAGCCATCCAAGCAATGTGCTGTTATTGGTGGCACAGCAAATATAATTTTAGATTGTATCTACATACATATTGAATACAATTTAAAAGATATTATAATGTTCATGTATAGGTCATTGGTTTGACCACCTTTGGAAGACTGTATTCAGTCTTGGCTCCTTACCTTAGAAATTACATTGAATTGTTGATGGGGTTCAGAGTAGGGTTACTAGGATGAAACCTGGCATGAAAAGGTTGTCATACAAGGATAGGTTAAGATCTCTGAAATTGTTATGTCTTGAAAAATGAAGAGTTAGAGGAGATCTGTTTGAGGTGTATAAGATTGTAAAAAAAATTGATAGTGCTAATGCATCATCATTTTTTATATTTAATGGTGAGAATGGGGCACAAATATAAATTTTACTAGGGTAGGATTCATCTTTACCTAAGATAGCTTTGAATGATAAGGGCTGACTTTAAATGATTTATTTTAGAGTTTGTATAGTGGATGTGATGACAGATGGACCAACAGGTCTTAAATTATATATATATATATATATGTGTGTGTGTGTGTTACTTTGCATATACAGTTTGTAGCTTTATTTGATCCTGTTTTGGTCTTGAATATTCCATTTTTCAACAAATTATCTTTACAATAATATTATAGTACTTAAACATACAACAGCAATTTATGAAAATTACATAGGTTAGTATTTGTGACATGATATAGCCAAAGCAATCACAAAAGCTTCACGCTAGATATGTGCATACAATAACTATCAAGTTATACAAACAGTATTACATATTCTTTTAAGGGAGCTTATGAAAACTGTTAATAAGTACAGACTGAAACTTTTTTGTTATATGGTTATCATATGTTTAATCCCACTCACAAGTAAATTCTCTGTTTTAACTTCTAGCATTCACAATTATTATAGTTTTTTATTAAATTTTAAATTTTTTGCTCTAGGCTATTGTGATTTTTATTGAATATCTGCTTTTTGGAGTTTCATATATATAGAATTTTTATGTGTTAACTGCAGTATTATGATTAATGAAATATGAACTGTTAGTAATACACTAATATACTATTTTTAAAATGTTTTAAAAACTCATTTTAATAACAATTTATAAATACCAATAACTCTATACTAATAGTAATAAATAAGCTCAACAATACACGCTGAGTGATATTATTACTATTAATTGTTTATTGTAATTATAGTTAAACAACTTTAAGGTAAACTAATAGATAAACCCAACAATACAGATTGATATTACAAACTATTAATTGTTTATTGTACTATTAGTAGATATACTTAAAATTAAGCATTGATTCATGTTTGTGCTGTAATAGTACTACATTATATTTCATCTCCTCGAATGAAAAATTACGTCATCATGTGAACAACTCCTGTCCTGAGGCACGATGATGCGGCTCATGGGCAGATAACACAGAAAATCGAAGAGAATAGAGGCTTAGGTTTACTAGCGGCAGACAGGCTTAAGCGTCCTATGTTCAATAAAACTGACACAGTGACAGAAATCAAACTTGTCAAGACCATTGGAGTTTCTCTATTTAGAAGGCAGGAGCTACTTTGTAATTACTCAACACTAAGTCAATTTCATATTACAGGTAAAACACGTTTTAAAAACAAATTTGATGAATCTTGTTTTCTAATGACATGTATTACACTTCATACCTAATCCTTCTCCCTGAAGAAGGTGTAGCCTAACCAGTATCCTCCATTCATCAACACACTTAAAAGGTATACGTACTCCATTCAATACAATAGAAACTCAGTGAACGTCTCGCGTATCCTCGCGTGTCACGAGATAGTGCGCAGTGAAGAAGTTTTTTGATGTCAAGTTGTGTTTTCCTAAATTCAACGACTAAATTTTATACTATTACTAATTAACTTTTTACACTATTTGCAGTTCATTACGTTTCAAGATAAAAATGTGTCTTAAGGAACATTTATTACTGTTTAAGCGTGTGAGACAGGTTTAACTTTAATCTAAGGGTATGGCTGTTTCAATGTTTGGAAGACAGCATGAATCACTCAGAATCAGTGAATGTGACTGGTGAAATCGTTTATGAGCTCCACAGTTTGGGAAGTTTTAACTAGTTTGGTTAGCACAGAAAATTAATTTCTAACTCTATGATATATATATTAATTAATATTAGGAATGTGGGTAGACATAAAAAAATGTGGAAAATAATACCGTGGAAGTTTAACCTCAGAAAACATTAAACAGTAGACTAATAATTGTATTAGTTATTCTGATAAGTGATATGGACCTTGAAAATTGCAAATATGGTTCTTTTTTTAGTTTTTTAATAGTGTAATAATAGTTAATACTGCTACTATTAGTATTACAGAACAGTAAGTTTATATTTATCTGTTAACAGTAGTATACTTTTAATAAAAGTTTTATAAATTATAGTACTGGCTGGGAGTGTGACTGTTATGGTAGTTTTTGTTTTTTTCATTCTACTGCTTGTTTTAATCTATGATTCATATATTCTGAATTGTTGTTTTGCCAAAGTTTTAATATTTCATTATAAAGTTCCTAGTAAGTCCTGCATTTGGGATATTTGTTTTGTTACCTTTTTTCAAAATTTGACAGTTTTAATACATTGTAAACAAAGAACTGTAAAAACCAGCATTGATAATTTTCATTTTGTTTAAGTTACAAAATATATAAATGGACATGGACAATAGTTAGTATTTTAAATTTAATTGGAAAGAAAACAGTGCTTGGGAATCTGAATGTTATAATAAAGAAAATTATTCCAAAGTCTTCAGCGAGTACCAATAAGATAAATATTTCAGTGGCTTCCTTTTTGAGTTTGTGAGATGTAAATGTATTTTTTTTTCATTATCAGCAATCATAAATTTATAAAAAAATTATGCAAAAATAGCACTACAAGCCAGACAATATTGAACACACAAAAGTAAATCAGTAAATCTGATTGGCCTTTGGTATGGGTTGTCTTGAGATGTAGATGCAGGTAATTTAATTTATTTGAAAGATAAGTGCTGAATTTCAGTGTTTTATTTTTATTTTAAAGTTTAGTATAGTGAATGGGACAGTCTAGATAGACTAAGTGGTCTCTTGGTGTCTTTAAATTTACCTTGTATCCTCCACTCTTCTTGCATATCAAGGAGGGGTGGAGGATGATGGAGCAGAGAGCTGGCTCATATAAGTTCACTCTCTATGTCTTTAAAGGTGGCATTTAAATGCATTTACACTGCTTACAGAAACTGCTTCAATTGGAAGATTATTCCATATATCCACTACTCTTTGAGAGAAAAAGAACTTCCTTAAATCCAATCTGGAGCTCTGCTTATATATTTTATACTTGTAGCCTCTAGTTATGGAATTATTAAATATAAAGATACCTGCAGAATTTAGTCCTTCAAGGCTTTTAATAACTTTAAAGACCTCAATTAAAAAATTACTCTTTGAATGATGAGTTTCAAGTGTAGTGAGATGTAATTTCTATAACCTTCTTTTATGAGAAAGGTTATGATAACCTGTTATTATCTTAGATAATCTCCTTTGAACTTGTTCAAGTAGATCTACTTCATCTTTTTTGAGGATATGGATGCCATACTTGGATACAATATTTAGGTGAGATCTGATAAGTGATTTGTACAACCAAAGCATCACATTACATTTGTTATTTATAATAGTTCACTTAATCCTACCTAAAACCTGATTTGTGGCTTTTGCAAATTCTGTGTATATATGTATGTGTATATATATATTTGTGTGTTTTATAAAATAATGTTTCTAGGAACAATAAATGTATTTCATTCTGTACTTGTTAATACTACAAGGTTCTAAATACAGTACTGCCTCATTATAACAATACCATTAGGAGCCATATGCACCCAAGAGTGATATAGGTGGGGGAGCATTATAACCAAGTAGTCAAGAAGGCACTCGTGCTGAACAAGTATTGATTTAACAGACTGTTAAGGTAATCAATTAACCTTATCTCCACAGGTCTTCTTATGGTCATGGTTCAAAAGCCATATCATCACATTTATAGACTCACATTCAAAATTTTATTGAACTACAATTTTATGTTAATAAGTTTGTTATTAAATTGTAGATTATAATTCAAATTTTAGTATTATACATTAGTTAATTTCTTAATTTAAAAGTAAATATTAAAAAATAAATCCTAAATATCAAACTTTGTGTGTCACATGGTATGTTGAATGCAGCATTGGTTCAAATTTGATGTTTGTAATGTCCAAATATAGAGTCTATAGTTTCTTATGAATTAGATACTCAAATTACCAATATTGACAAGCTAGAATATAAGATAAGAACCTCCTGTCTTTTCTATTTTCTGAGATATTAATATATCTATTGAATCAACCAAGGTGGTCCCTGCCCACCTCTTCAGTTTTTGAAAATACTTGCTTATATGCACCTACTTCGCCCAGTGATGTGTGTATAGCCAATCAAAAGCTCAGAATGTCTTCTCAGCCTCTGTGAATTATTTATGCAGAAAATCTTTTCTTTTCAAGTAGTAAGGAAAGACACTAATCAGCTCAAACAATCATATTTTTTTAGACCCTTAGTTACTATGCTTGATAAATGATAGTAAATATCTGTGGTATTGATATAGTAATTTATGATTTTTGGTTATTTCAAAACGTATATATAAAACCAAAAAAAAATTATTTCGTTTCGCATCGTACACATACAAAATTTGATAAGGCCTAACAACATATGGCAAGTATCTAACAAGTACAAAGTTTGTAACTAGAAGAAATAATTGTTTTCTATACTTCTTTATTTACAGTTCTATGTTTTAAGAAAAATACCTGAAACTAAAGAACTTATCTGTAAGTAGTAATAATGTATATACAGATATAAGGTATTATAACCGAAATGTGATTGTATTTTACAATGTTCTGGTCCACTAGAACATAGCCAAGACAGGTCACTTTGTAAAAACCAGTTTTATATGCTTGGATATAGTAACAGGTGTGCACGTCCACCACGTCATTGCAACTTCTGTAATGTTAGTCATGTGTGGCTGAAAATAAAATAAAATAAAAATAATAGATATATATACAGATGTATAATGTTATGAGATTTAAGCTATTTAGACTAAATATATATGCTTTCGTGTTATAATTTGTAGTCACTCTAGAATGAAAAAGGGATAATTTATATCCATTTCCTAATTTGTTATGGTGGTTACAAGGTTGGTCAAATCAACCAAATCCACACACAATAGTGAAAATAACAGATAAACATAAGTTTTTTTTAATGTTTGATAATTATCTGAAGGTTATATAGATCTTGTGTTTTTTTCTTTTTGAATGTTGACTGTCTAACATGCAAAGTAATTTTGGTTTTAAGGTTAAAAATACTTTTATGCATCAGAAAGTTTTCAAGTTTCACATGGAGAAAACATTACTTAAAAAATCTAAAAACTTAATACAAAAAAAATTATATTTTGTATACTAAAGCCTTGTAATATTTACTGATAATCTGCAGAACTTCGTGAAGATAAGCTTGCTCTATTAAAAGTTATGGCATGAAAACCAATCCTGTATTGAAGGATCTAACAGTATGTAATAAAAAAATTGTAAACACACAACAGAAACTTCAAAATATATATGATACTAAGCAACTAAATCAGACATAGAAAAAAAAAAAAAACATTCATAGCAGACAATAAGATACAATTACTACTGAAGACCAAAAATATCAATAACACCTAGTTTATGATCATATGTGATCTAACAAAGTTGACATTGAGGATTAACTTCAAGGAAAGAATTTTGCAAAAACTTAAATCCACTGTTGATGGTTGAAATTTTACTTAACAGTATATATGGATTACTGTTAATATAATACTGATTGCAAGAAGTGCATATTAGAATCATGAAACAAACATTCTGGCTTTCAGGAAGACAGTTTGTGACAAGGAATCTACCCTATACAATATTTTTTCTCAGAATTCAAAGATTATAATAAATGAGCAAAAATTTACATTTCCTCAACCAGGACCTCAAAATTTCATTAATAAAATTTACCTTGTGGGCATCAGATGATTATAGTTAAACACCTTTAGAAAGGGTTTAATTTTATTATACTTCTTCTGTCGTTTCTTGCTCATTCTTCGAACCACCTTACGAGGATACCGGTCAATACCAGCAACAAAAGCATGGCCATATGGTTTATCTGAGGTGCCTTCATCATTATTCTGAAAGGAATATCATAGCAGTTGTTAAGTAATGAAAAGAAACAACACCCAATATTTCAGAAAACACATCAATCTTGCACTTCACAGTTCTAAGGGTCTCCAAAACTTTATTTCAGAAAAAGCAATGTGTTTGTGTCTTGATATTAATCTAATATTTTTAATAAAACAGATCTTGACAATAAATAACTCTTAAGACCAATTACAAATACAATTCCCTTCACTTCATGGGCAAATGGCTTGTTTTGCATGCTCTCCTAAGCTTAAACCATTACTATTCCTTTTGGGGTACACATCACACACTTGGATTTTTCACACATTCAAATAAACAAGAAAATTTTACGCAGAGAATCAACAGATTATGCAATCTTAACAACACAAATGTTACAGAACCTACCTCATAACCTGAGTGAAAGAAAGCTGTAAGAGCAGGAACTTATAAAAACCTTGTGAAAATAAGAACAACATTACTTGAAACATTCATAGATGAATAAGTGTTTTGATTTTTTAGCATGTTGGAACTTATTCACTCAAATTACAATATTTGTAAACTTAACCTTTATTTCATTCTTGTACAAGGGAACACAAGTTTTAAATTCTGTATGATCTCCCTGCTTCAAATCACTTAACTAGCTGAAATGTTGAGTTCTAATATTTTGTTTTCATATACATTTTATTGACATTTACTTTTGATACAGCAATAAAAATCCAAACTGGTTTAATTTTTTGTCACCCCCCCCCCCCTCAATTGCAATTTTCATTTATGAATAATAAACAGTTAATAATCCTAATGATGAACTAATAATCCTGCCACACAAAAGGCAAAATATAATTTTGATAATGTTCAAACTTTGTTTACGGAGACATAAACTAGAAAGTCAGGCACACCTGCCATGTCCATCTGTCACATCCTTTTTTTAAAAAATTGCCAATAATTCTCATGTTTTATATTATATCATTTATGACAAATAGAAAGGCATAGCTTTAGTCTATCAAATGAAGTATTATGTTGCTTTCGGTACGGAGTGTCTACTTCATTATAAATTGTCATATATAGTAAGAATTATTATTTTTCCATAAGTTTTTAAATTTGATATGTAGGTGTACACTCACCATTTAAAAAGGTGCTCCCTGGTCTGGCTTAAGTTAAATTCAGAGGCAATCTTTTGCATTCGGTTAAAAAATACACAAACATGAGCTTTGTAGTCATTCCCTTACCTTTACAATAACAGCTTTTCGTCCAGCATACTTGCCATTTAAGACAAGTACCACTTTTCCTGATTTCATAATCTTGCCCATTTTGATGCTAAAAAAAATTATACAAGCCTTAAATTTACTGTTGCTTTTTAACAAGTATTTGTTTACTTCAACTTAAAAAAAAAGAACTTACATAATCAGAATAAAATAAACAGTTTCAAAATCACACACACAAAAATTTCTTCCTCCATATTAACACTATTGAATTAAGGGAAAAAGAGATCACTAAATACAAGATCCAGATATTGCCAATTCATTACTTCAAAGCTTATAGAAATAGAATGCATGAAGTCCTTTCCCCCGATCTGCTAGAAATAAAACCATTAGTGGATCTGAATATGCCTGAGGTAGTTCCACACAACCACATAAAGCAACAAATTCTTAGCATTCTTTTTAAAAACCCTGTTGCAGAAAAATTGAAACTTTTGTATTCAGCTCCTCTTTTATAGTACAAATCTTCTTTCTGGAGAGTCAATAGAAATGTTAGATTTTCATCTAATAACTTTAGCTGATTTACTCAAAAAGAATGAAGGCTGGTTTATAAATAATTTAGATGTATGTTTAAATCAGTTTTCCATTCTAGTGTCATAAGTTGTGAGAAACTGACTGAAACAATTTCTATGAAATCAGTATATTTGTTTTGATGGGTGCTACAGCACTGATGCCCATAAATGCTATTTCATGAGTGATTTTTACAACCACTTGTCAATTAATAACACAACACCTACTATTTCCGCATGTCACAGGAAATTTAGAAAAAATGAGAAAAAACACAATTTTTCACATTTACTGATAATTTTGTATCACATCATGTTGCAGGTTTTAGTTACACAATAATGCAATAACTATAACCTCTGGTAACCTTACTGCTAAGTGTACACAAAATACTTTGGTCTCTTAATAGCCCTTGACCAGTCCACTGGTCTGACATTGAAAATTACATCTTTGTCTACAGTACAGTGTAGCCCCATTATAACGCGATTATTGGGGTCTATAAAATGTCATCGCGAAACAAGCAGGGTCGCGTTAAATTGGGTTCAAGAAAATCACTGTTCAAACTGATCCAATGTTGACCTAACATCCTAAAACACCTCTATTTTTGCCCTCTTTGACTAGTTTTGTACACGTTCCCTTTCTGGCAAGTAAATTACCTCTGAATTAAAGAATTTTGTGAATGAATCGTTGTTGTTACAGTAGAAATTAAAACACAAATTGTTTTTAGTGGGCTTTTTAATAAACAAAACAGCAAATTAAAACATTCAAGAATATTAACAATCATCATTTGCAGTTTATTTCTTAAAAAACTGATCGAGTGTTCCTTGCTTGAACGTAGCATGTCTCTGGCTGCAAGCAAAATCTAGAATGCTTCTAAGTTGGAGGATTTTTATGTGGTCCACCTCCTGAGTCTCCAGCCAACGGAGGCTAGCCCGGAGGTGTTCAATGGTTTCAGACACTTTTGGTGGTGGTGATGGAGACTCTTCATTATCCTCTTCTTGTGGCTCGAGAACCAGTACACTTGCCTCCGTCGGTACTATAGTTACGTTATGGACGATCTCGGCATCCATCAAGTGCTCATATGTTGAGCATTCGTCATCAACAGAGTGCCACTGGTGTAGCTCTTCTTTGCCTCACAAATCTGTCTTGTCATCATCATCATCTTCCGTGGTGGATTGCCGTGATGAAAAGGCTAGCCCCAGACTCTTCTCCCAGCATTTCTCTACACACAACAAGCTGACTGCTGCCCAGACCTTCCCACCTATTCAGGCTTTTCAGATAGGCTTCAAGCGTTGTTGAAGGATTTAGTGAAAAACACATTTGAAATGCATTTAGGAGGTTTTAGGGATAACACAAAGGAAATTTGAGATTTTTTAGATGACGAAAAGTATTTCTAATTTTGACATGAAAATCACTTTGCACTCAGACTAGTTAAAAAAAATAATTGATATTTTCACGGACAAATTTAAGTAAAAATACTTCATTAAAAAATCCGATTTTTTGTGTGCAAAAGGCTTCTACTGTTACTATAAGTCTACAAACTTTCTTAAAGATACACTGAAAATATTAAAAGTTATTAGTATGTACACTATAACGAGGTCGGTCCCAGGGACTGCCAGTGT